GTGGAGGGAAGCAATCCAGAAACTGCAAAAAAAAGGCAGGTCATGTGATCGATCGAACATCGCCCCTCCCCCCCCCATCCGTTAAGGACCCTCGTGGTTTTTCAGCTGGCGGTCCACAGAACCAGGACTGAGTTCTGAGACTCGTGGGCGTGTTAAATACGATTTTTCTCCCTTTCAGGGGTGTCCGTGGAGGCTGATCTTTGAGTCCGGGGGTGTAGGAGGAGGAGTGGCAGAATCTAGGGGTGGAGTCAAAAGAGGAACCAGCCTAGAATCCCTGCGTAGCCAATTCCCCTCCGGCGCCCTCGACCCTTAACTAACTCTTAAGCAGATACTGACTACATTAGTTGAGAACATTTCTGTGCCTGAGCTATTTATCAATACATCAGTTTAACTGGACATTCCTATGTCCACCTGATCTTTTGTGCCTGACAAGAAGGGAAGGGAAGGGAAAGAAGAAAGGAAGGAGGGAAAGGAGGGAGGGAGGGAGGGAGAAAAGAAGGAAGGAAGGGGTCAAGTTTAAGAAGGAACAATGGGAGGGAGAAAAAGGAAGGAGGGAGGAAGGGAGGGAGGAAGAAAAGGAAGGAAGGGGTCAAGTTTAAGAAGGAACAAAGGGAAGGAGAAAAAGGAAGGAGGGAGGGAGGGAGAAAAGGAAGGAAGGGGTCAAGTTTAAGAAGGAAGGAATTCTCCAACCGAAACACGTCCATAGCTCAGAGTCATCAATCATGTTCTCCAATTAGGAATTTTCAAGGGCAGAAATTCCGGTCTAACTTAGTTACAATCTTTGCAAGATGAGAATGGAATGCGCTTTCGGTTTTAAACCTCCGCACTGCTCCTTCAAATTTCTTCCCTTCTTCATGGCAACTCTAAAATAGGCATAGAAATATTTTATGAGCACACACACACACACACACACACACACACACACACAGACAGTCAGGATTCCGACAGTTACCCCCAATTAAATCAGGAGTCTCGAGCCAAACTTCCAAAACTTCAAAAGGATTTATTGGGAGTTAAACTGTCTGGCATTGCCTGGGTGTAGCCGACTCTGAGGCACATCATTCATTGTCACCCTTGACCCTGGTTTTCCCCCCTGCACCCCCTGGGTGTAATCCTAATTCCTATTCTCCAATGGGATGCATCCATAGCCCAGAGTCATCGATCATGCTCTCCAGTTAGAATTTTGGCGTGGCAGAAACTTCAGTCACCTAGTTACTATCTCTGAAAAACTATGTGTGGAATGCACTTTCGATTTCCAAGCTGCTGCACTGCTCCCCCGTCCCTTTCTGTTGGCAACTCTGCAAGACCATAAAAATATTTTATGAGTTGACATTCAGCTCCCCTCACTTCTTGAAGGTGACCCGTAACAACACAAAAAGAAAACCAATGTATTTCCGGCTTTTCGCTAAACTTTTGCTGTTCCCCTTAGATCTCCAGACTTTTGTGCTGAGTTCTGTGGAGCTGCAGTATCTGATGGGATCCTGCTTCAAGCTACGGACCGTCCACAACATTCCACTGACCTGCAACACCGACGGTGAGTGCGCTCACGACCCAGCTGCTCCTGGCACCATCGATCCGCATGATTGCAACTCGGCAACGGGCTTCGGTTTACGCCTCCCACAGTCACGGGAAGGGGCTGGACTTTGCAGTGACTCTGGGTATCTTACGCAGGTGGTCCTCGGGTTACGGCCAGGACTGAGCCCCAAAATTTATGTTGCTAAGCAAAACGTTGGTTCAGTGAGGTTTTCCCCATTTCATATGACTTGTCTTTCCACGTTCGATTAGCCACCCAGTCATTAAGTGAATCCAGCTTTCTCCCATTGTCGGAAGGTCGCAAAAGGGGAATCGCATGGTCCCAGAATGCTGCGACCGTCGTAAATGTGAATCAAGCATCCGTATGTCACTCGCGTGACCCTGGGCAGGCTGCAACAGATCATAAGTGTGAAAAATGGTCGTAAGTCCCCTTTTTCAACGCCATTGTAACTTCAAATGGTCACTAAGCGAACTGTTGTAAGTCAAGGACTGCCTGTAATTTAAAAATAAAACAAAAAAAGCAACACACAGATAGTCCTTCAGTTCATTCAGTGACTGTTTGAAGTTACGACGGCACCGGAAAAGTGACTTACGACCATTTTTCACACCTGCGACTTGTTTTTCACACTTTTGACCAGTCACGTGATTAAAACTCAGGTGCTGATTCATATTTACAACGGTTGCAGCGTCTCAGGGTCACAACAGTCCCCTTTTGCGACCTTCTGACCAGCCACGACCACGGGGGAAGCCAGATTCGCTTAACAACCGCACGACTCACTTAATGACTGCAGGGATTCCCTTCACAAACCTGGTGAGGAAGGGGTCGCAACAAGGGAGGGGAACCTCACTGAACCACCATCTCGCTTGGCGGCGGAAAGGTTGGGCTCCACGCCGCGGTCGTAAGTCGAAGACCACGCCTGGTCTTCTGGTTCCCGTTTATGACAAGTGCAAAGCGCCCGGTGTCCAGTTGGTCCTTTTTCCCACCAGCAGGTGGCGCTGTGCCTACAAAATAATTGCTTTTGCAAACTATCCCGAAAATTATATATATATATATATATATATATAATTTCCTGCTTTCTTGAAACGTGGAGGAGGCCACGAAACAATTTTTTTAAAAAAAAAACTTAATACTTGGAGTTGTTAAGTCATAAGATGCTCGGGAAAAGTTGCGGCCAATTAAGCTAACTTTTTTTTTTTACTTGTTCAGATGATTGCCGGAGAGAGCCCTCGGTCGCTAAAAGCAGCACGTGGGAGCAAAGCCCAGTGGGGAGGGGGGGGGGGCTCCTTCCCACTAATTTGACCCCCCCAATTAGTGGCTCCTCTGCCTTCTGCAAGCACCCCTGCCCTCCTTCATTAACGGCTCCCCTCCTGCGACCGGGCGGATCTCTCTTTTTAGCGGGGTGATTTGCCTCCTTAGCATTTCTTGGGGTTGCAACCATTCTGACCTCGTGAAAAGGAAATAAAAACCATTCCTGCCTTTTTTGGTAAATGGTTTTTTTTAAAAAAAAAAACAAAAATTTATATCCTTACTGTTGGATGGTTGTTGGTTCCTTTTCTCCTTTTCGTTTTGCGTAGGAACTTTGGAAATGAAATAAAAATTTGTGGGAAGAAAAATAAATAAATAAAGCCACCTCTCTTTCTCTCTCCCTCCCTCCCTCTATCCTCCCACTCTCTCTCCCTTTCCCTCTCTCTCTCACCCTCCCTCTCTCTTTCTCTCCCTCCCTCTGTCCCTCCCTCTGCCCCCTCCCTCCCTCTCCCTCTCTCTCTCCCTTTCTCTCTCTCTCCCCCTCTCCCTCTTCCTCTCTCCCTTTCTCTCTCCTCCTTTCTCTTTCTCTCCCTCCTACTCCCTCCCTCCCTCTCTCTCTCTCCCTTTCTCCCTCCCTCCCTCTTCCTCTTTCCCTTTCTCTCTCCTCCTCTCTCTTTCTCTACCTCCCTCCCTCCCTCTCTCTCCCTCCCTCCCCCCTCCCCCCTCTTCCTCTCTTCCTTTCTCTCTCCTCCTCTCTCTTTCTCTCCCTCCCTCCCTCTCTTTCTCTCCCTCCCTCTCTTTCTCTCTCTCTCTCTCTTTATGGTCCCTCCTCCACAGATGACAAACTTCAAGGAATGTGCGGCTTTCTACACGTCATTCTCCACTCGGTCAAGGGCTTCAAGCAATCTGCCAGTAAGTGCCAGATTGATTGAGTGGATCTAATTATATTATTATTATTATTATTATTATTATTATTATTATTATTATTATTATTATTATTATTATTATTATTATTATTATTGGGATCTTCCCTGGGGCTTCCCTTCTCCAGAGCCTTGTATAGCATAATTGGACCCAGCTGCAGCTTCACCCGGGGAGGATCTGGGGTCATCCAGGCGAACCCCCAATTGTGTGGACATTTTGCAAGGGATGGATCATCTGGGGCTCCCAATCACCCAAGGAACCCACAGTCCTCGCCCCCCCCCATCCTCCTCCCTGCACACATCCCCCCTTCTAGCACTGATAATGTTCCCTAGCTTGGTCATCAAGCATCTGCAAGTAAACACCCAAGATCAGAAAGCTGTAAGAGGGGTGGGCTTCCACTCCCAGAATCCCCAGCCAGCATGGACTTCCACTCCCAGAATCCCCCAGCCAGAAGACTTTAAGAGGGGAGGGCTTCCACTCCCAGAATCCCCCAGCCAGCCTGCTTTAAGAGGGGAGGACTTCCACTCCCAGAATCCCCCAGCCAGCCTGCTTTAAGAGGGGAGGACTTCCACTCCCAGAATCCCCCAGCCAGCGTGCTTTAAGAGGGGAGGACTTCCACTCCCAGAATCCCCCAGCCAGCCTGCTTTAAGAGGGGAAGACTTCCACTCCCAGAATCCCCCAGCCAGGATGCTTTAAGAGGGGAAGACTTCCACTCCCAGAATCCCCCAGCCAGCCAAAGTTAGGAAACTCTGACCTGAGGGATGAATTTTAAGAGATTCCCCCACTCGAAAGATAAAATGGATTTCCTATTTTCCTTCCTAATCTCCTTAGACCTCTACTGTACTCTGGAAGTCGACTCTTTCGGGTATTTTGTCAGCAAAGCCAAAACACGCGTTTTCCGGGACACAACGGAGCCGCAGTGGAACGAGGTAAGCCATCCGCAATGCCTCTGAGCAGGTACAGAGTGCCTCCCCACTGTTTCCCACCAGGGCAAAATAATTTTCAAAACCCCTTTCTCCCCTTCTGTTGGCAACTCCAAAATGCCCATAGAAATATTTTATGAGTTGACATCCATAAGGAAAGCCAGATTCGCTTAACGACCGGGTTACCCACTTATCAACTGCAGTGATTCACTTAACAGCGGTGGTTACCAACTTCACCCATGCAATGATTCACTGAACGACAAATGCAATAATTCACATTTCTCTTTGCAAGAAAAGCCGTATAATGGGCGAAAGTTTCCTCAGCAAAGGACTCCCTTAGCGAGATAAATTTTGGGCTTGGTTGCGGTCATAACTTGAGGTGACCTTGTAACGATCTGAACGCAGGCTGAGCTGGACAGATTAAAAATAAAAGACAAAAAGAAGACTCAGATTACTTCTTGACATTTTTATGAGTGGTTAAAAACAAGGGGTAGAAGTTAGAGGAAGAAAAAGGATGAACAATCTTATTAAAAACAGGGATGATATAACTATAATCACTATAAGTATTAAGAATATGAGTGAGTTAAACACAGAGAATGGGAATTGTACGGTATGGGAACTATCATAGCACGGGTGGGATGCAAATACTTTTACTACTGGTTCTGTGGGCAGTTTGAACCAGTAGCATCCAATCCACCCCCCGTATCATAGTATTATCAGAGCTGTTAATTTATGTGCTATTATGTATTATTAGTCTTATTATTTGTAAATGGGACAATATTTTTTACAGTATTAGCTATGCTTTTTTTGTAAATAATATACCCGGACAAAACGCTGTATTCTAAAAAAATGCTTATGAATAAATCCTAAAAATAAATATAAAAAAAATAATGGTCTGAACCCATGTGGGGCACCCCCAGCCATTTCTCAACAAAGAATTCTCGGAAAGAAACGATGTGCAATTATCAATTTACTGTACAAGCTGAAGATGACCTAAGAAGGCAGCTGGGAATTCGATTATTTTATTTATTAATCCAATTGAAAGGCCTCCGGATTCTTGCCAGAGTCATTCTTGCTGCCAGTGTGAGAAGGTGCCTGCTTTCGTTTCTAGAAAAAGCTCTACTGCGGGCAATACTAGTCCTCGACATACGACCGTCATAGAGCTGCCCTTTTTTCACACTTAACGACCGTTACACCATCTCCAGGCTCATTGGATCAAAGTTCAGACGCTTGGGGCAACCGATTCATATTTATGACGTGTCACAGCGTCCCGGGGCATCTCGGGATCTCCCTTTAGTGACCTTCCAAGAAGCCAAGTCGGATTCACTTAATGACCGACAATTCGCTGAACAGCCCCCAAGGATGTAAAATGGGGCAAAACTCAGTTTACCTTGTTCAGCACTGGCAAGTTTGGGCTGACCAAACGGCCGTGAAGTCAAGGAATTCTTGTATGATCCAACATGGCTACTCTGAAAATGAGTTTGTGTTTAGTCATGTTTCCATGGTGTAATTATTTGACAATTTGCTGTAATACAGGGGGACCTCGACTCATGACCACAATGGGGGCCACCAAATTTTTGTTCATGACCTTTCGTGTCACTGTTGTTAAGTGAACCACCGCAGTTCTTAAGTCAGTCCCATGGTCATTAAGTGAATCAGGCTTCCCACCCACATTGACTTTGCTCGTTGGATGGTCGCAAAAGTGGACCCCGTGACACACCCCGCCCCGTCCAGGGACGCTGCGACCATCATAAGTATCAAACCCGTTGCCAAACGTCTGAATTTGGATCACGTCGCCAGGGTTATGCTGTGTCGTAATGACGAGGCAGCCGAGGTGTTTGATCATGATCCATTGAATCCTGATGGACTTTATTGGAGTCTAGTCTTGCATTTATACACATTTTTAGTAATCCTCCAACGTTGGTTAACTTTGGTTTCTGCTTAACTTTCGTTACTGTTTAGCATAGTAATTAACACAATTAATTATCTCTAGTTAAAGTCTAACATATGTTGACTTCCTCTCTCTAATCCTCCTTTACATTAGTGACTTTGTTTGCCCGAGTTGTATTTGCTTATAAACCTTCCTTATCTGAGGTTTGCCATCCAAGATAAGGACATTCCTGCAATTACAACTCTACAATGCTGCAGCGGTCGTAAGTGTGAAACTTGGTCGTAACTCTGCTTTTTCCCTTGCCGTCGTAACTTCAAACGGTCACTAAAATGGACCGTTGTATGTCGGAAGACTGCCTGTACCGAGTGTCCGAATTTGAGATCGCCTGAGCACAAGGGATGCTGAAACCGTTGTAAAACTGGTCCTATGTCCCTTTTTTGTCAGCCCCGGTTGTGACTTACAACCGTCACTAAGTGAACGGTTGTAAGTCAAGGACTGCCTGTATTCTCGCTTTTTTTTCTTCTTCTTCGCGTTCTCTAAAACGGCGGCTGCTTCTCTTAAACTTCTCCCTCGCTGTCTGATTCTGCAGGAATTTGAGATTGAGCTGGAAGGCTCCCAGTACCTGCGCATCCTCTGCTACGAGAAATGCTACGACAAGACTAAGCTGAACAAAGACAACAACGAAATTGTCGATCGGATCGTGGGCAAGTGGCAAGTCCAGGTGCGGGGATTGTAGCACGCGTGGCTGCGGGGTGTGTGTGGGGGGGAACAACGGTCTCTTTTCACAAATCTTTCACGAGTCGGAGGGAGAGGAGGCTGTGGGTTGCGTTCTCCTTGCAAGGAGAAAACTAGCAGGTCAAGAAAACAGATGAAACCCTCCCCGCCCCCATGTTTTATGATAGGTGGACTTCCACTCCCAGAATCCCCCAGCCAGGATGCTTTAAGAGGGGAGGGCTTCCACTCCCAGAATCCCCCAGCCAGCC